CCCTGGATAAGAACAAGTTTTGGGAAAGCAAGGATATGTTAAATTAAATGGAAACGTCAGGTCTATTCACATCAGTGTGGGAAAATTCTACTATCAGTCCCTCATCCCCTTAAACGGAATAAGGTGAATATATATCATATAAAGGTCAAAAAACTTCCTAAAATCTAGTCTTATTAAAATTCTTTAAACTCAAATGTGCCAAAAGGTTTAAGTTGTTAGCAGAAAATTGTAGAGGGATTCTTTAATCATGAAAAATCCTCGTACATTTCCAAGTAAAAAGGTGATTTGCGCATTAGCGCGAATCAAAATATGAAAGTGGTGGCTAAAAAATAGAACCTATCTTAACGAACTTTCACTTCTTTCACTAATTGCAGACATGAGCAGAATGAGAGTACATAGAGAATAGCAAGCAAAGGTGCTAAGTGTGAAAATACTACTGAGCAAATTTCATTGAAACCTTAATTTCGTTGGGCTTGTTGGAAACGTAGATTTGCCTCGCTGGAAACCGAAAAAGAATTGACTTGAAGATATGATTGATTTATAATAAAAAGTCCTGGATGGATTGTCATGCGAACCAAATGAATCATTTTTCACAACTAGGTCATATTGGTAGGAAGATTTAGAGGAAAGCACCTAGTCCGGAGTCCATACAACGAAAGGAAACTGTGACTATACAAAATGCCACACCATCTTGATCTTAATATCTTCAAATGAATAAGTGTTTGGCTTTAATCGGTCATGATAAAGTCAGAATCAGCGGGTGAAACCATCAAGAGCCAGTCAAATTTACTTTAAAAAAACCTTTTATTGATAGCTTAATAGGAAGTTCCATGATTTTAATACCCACTTCATACTCCTCTTACATGCTTGAGGAGGAGTTAAGTCGATTAGGATGTGATCGTTAATCATTTTGTTAATTTATAGTGATTTTCTACCTTTTCACCTATCCTTTACCTATGCTGATAATGGAACAAACAAAGCCTATTATTCTGACTTTATTTCCTGCCCTAAATGGCTTGCTTTCCTTAATAATATTCCTTAATAATAGGAATATCAATAAAAATAAGTTATTCCAAACGAAAAATTTATTTTAAGATACATATTTCTTGATTGCGATGATTTAGGTATGCTAGACACATACTTTTTATCATCAATGATTTTATGGCATCTAGCTTAGCTGTATAAGTATGCTTATAAAATATATCAAGAAGGAAACCCATAGTTGTAGGTTTCAAGCACACATCTTTATAGGTTATTACTCTACTAACTGGAACCTCCAATAAAAGCGAATTTGGGTCAAATACAATTGTATAGCTACACTCTCTGCATACCTAAGTGATTTACCAATATATGTAATAATTGTAGTGTGTATTATTGAATTTATAAAGCTCATGATTGATTCGTTATAATTACCATGTGCTGATCTAATGTTAACTCCTGTACCCCTGTTGCCCCACAAACTGAAGTAGTATAGCATATTAGCAGCACATAAAAGCTTGTAAACAAATCCTCGAGATAAAACGCTGCACCGTCATGGATCGAGTCCCGCCGTGGTGGTAATATAACCCATGCGAGGTCAAACTGCAGTCCACCCTGGATGAGAACAACTCTTGGGAAAGCAAGGCTCTGTGAAATTCAATGGAAACGTCAGCTCTACTCATATCATTGTAAGAAAATTCTACTACCAGCCCTTCATCACCTTAAACGAAATAGGGTAAATACATCTCATATAACTGATTTACTGGTAGTCTTAAAACTCTACTAATATACGAAAAACAGTAAGAAGTGACAAGTAGTCCAATATAATTTCCAAAAATACATAAAAACGTGAAATATCGTTGTTTTATTGGAGTTATTTTTATTCGAATATGCCAAAAAGCTTAAGTTAATAACACATAATTTGGCCTTATACATTTCCAAATCGAAAGAAGAATCACATACCAATGCGATCGATCTCTTGATCTGTAAAACTCCTCCGTCTAAATCCTGATTTTACTGAGTTACATCCACTAGACGCAAAATTTTTACTATTATTGATTTCATAACCTCTACTTAAACGCCATAAGCATGATTAGAGAATAAAATTAGTAAGGAAATTAGCATTTTCAAGTTTCTTAAACTTATCCCTATCCAATTTACCACCTCCTCTACTAATTATGGTATCAAAAATAGTAATGGTTGTAATAACTCTGGCGAATTTTTTTAAGTCAGTTTGCTCAAGGGTTGTGCTAAACAGGATACTCACCATGAATTTTCCCTCTTTTCCAACAGAATGGCTGCTTCCATTCACTCTGTGTATATAAGTGACGAAGGAGCTGGCCACCTGGTGGGCCGATCTCATCCGCTGCAATTGCTCGCGGTACCGCTGTTGTTGTTGTTGTTGCTGTTGTTGCTGTAGTTGACGCAACTGATTATACTCTGTATCACTTTGCAGCCCAGAGTTGGATGAGCGACCACTTCCAGGAGGTGGTAGTGACTGAAGCGCCGCAGGTGATGTCTGATGATATTGGGGCTGAGGATGATTCTGCTGTGAGGCAAGGAGAGGGGAGAACTGGTTGTTCTTGCTAGTAGAAAGGGATACCGGAGTAATGCTACTAACCGGTTTGTCAGTTCCTCTTATATCGACACCAGCCCCAGCACCAGTAATAGAGCTGGTATCCACAGAAGCAACAGCAGCACCACCGCTGCCGCCACCTCCAACCCGCCACCACGGAGATGATGTGCTACTGCTGTCCTTGCGGAGACGAGCTACAAAAGACAAACGACTCATCCTACTTGAAATCGCATTTTGGCCGGCGGCAGATGCTGTCGAGTCAGCAGAGAGGAGTGAGGCAGCTGAGTAAAAAGGGGTTTGGGCTAAGTTCTAGGTCATTTGATACAAAATGCAATCTTATATTATCATAAAAAGGGCATATCAAACGTGAAAACCTGTCTCATCTGTCCATATATTGGAAGCAATCTGAAGTGCATGGTTCCTTTCAGGATGCTGGAACCATAAATAAATAAATAAATAAATATATTTAGGAGATTTCTATAGGAAGTGAAAAGAAAGTAAAATATTCAAGACCAAAGGGATAGAAGGAAAGGACGCAATAGCAGAGAATGTACAATGGCAAGAATGGATTCTCGCACCTGAGCTACACCACCACCTTTTAAATGAAATAAGCCAAAGCAGAGACCCCGATTTGAAGATGCTGAAAATATTAATGATAGCGACTGTCAGCCCTTAGGGTGTTAGACAAAACTTGAGAAATCGTTTCCTCAAGGATACGGGGATATGAGATGATTATAAGCTTTTAAGAAGAGATGTGTGCACAGTGATTTGCTTTATCAGTAAGGATATGTTATTTTCATTACCAACAAGCAAGGACTGAACAGAGGCTAAAATCTGGCTTCGTCCTAATCGCTTCCAATATTTATGATCCTTTCAAATAGACGATTTCCATTGCATCCATTGTGCAATGGACGTTGAATAGCTAATACATAAACCAAGGTTCTTACTATAATATACTGTGGCGTCTTCCTCTATTTTTGAACCATTATCAAGTACATAGCCTTACTTAGACAAGTTATTTAGAAAAGGTTTGGAATAGTTGAGTAAAGATATTCGACTTGAGAAACATCCGGTTTTGTAATTTGGGGGGGGCGGTCTAATACTAGAGCTTGCTAAGGTTGCACCATCAATATGAAAAATATGGCCAAATAAGAAGATTTGGTTGTTAATGATAAAAAGTATTAGTACATGAGATGTACTGGTACTTGAACATAATCGATTGCTATAGCATCGACACCCCCCCACAGAATGCGATATGGGAAAATGTCTGGCCTTCATTCAAATTCACATTTGCATTGTGATCCAAGGGCATTCGTGGCAATGTGGCGTAGTGATTAACGTGTTGAGATCATACGCTGCACTGCCATGGTTATACTTTTGTTGGGGGTGTTGACAATACCTAGGCGAGGTCGAAACTGCAGTCCACTCTGGATGATAATAACTTTTGGGAAAACAAGACAACGTGAAATTCAATGGAAACATCAGCTATACTCATATCATTGTGGGAAAATTCAATTACCAGTCCTTCATCATCTTAAAAATAGTATGGTGAATACATCTCATACAACTGATTTACTGGTAGTCTCGAAAACCTACTTATAAACGAAAAAACGTATAGTAGCAGACTTTAAAATCACATCAAGTAGCCTGTGGACAAAGGCATGCAAATTTTCTTCTTCTATGCAAGACAGCATAACTCGTTTTCCTGTACAAGGCTGGCGTATCCTATAAGGTAGCTTGAAGCCGAGCCTATACTTATAGGGAATAGTTTATATTCGCTAAATATTTTTCAAAAGGCTTAAAGATTTAAGACGCCAGAAATATGCTACCTTCTTAAAAAGCTCAAGGGTAGGAGTGTCTTTTCGAGAGACAGGATTTAGCTGGAGATGCTAACACTCTTAAGAGACAAAAAATATGGCATCGAAGTGCGTACAGAGGTAGGTATACGTTAGTAAGTATGTACGTATCTGTGTGCGCATAAACGGAAAATAAATCATATAGTCAATTGCTATAGCAAGTTTAATTCCTCAACAATCCCACTACAGAAATGTGATTTGGAAAGGGCCTGGCCCACCTTGAAAGTCACTTCTACCCTGTGGCCTGGGCGAAATAAAAATACAGTCCACCCTGGATAGAATACTTTTTTGGAAGCAAGACTATATGAAATTCATAGGGCCTACTCATATCGTTGTGGGAAAATGTAACTAGCAGTTCTTCATCACGTTAAAGTAAATAAGGCGAATAAGGTAGAAACCACAGTCGACCTTGGATAAGAACATCTTTTAGGAAAGCAAAGCTATGTGAAATTCAATGGAAACGTTAGCTCTACTCCTATCATTGTGGGAAAATTCTCTTACCAGTCTTTCAAACCTTAAATAAAATAAGGTGAGCACAACTCAAAGCTAATACAGCTCTTATGTCAAATATAATGGTAGTCTCGAAGGCCTTCTTACAAACGGAATATAAAACCATAGTAACTATGTTTGATTAGTGGCAGGCAAAAATCTGCTAACCAAAATTGATATGTGTGATGAGATGAAAAGAACTAAAATGTAGTGACAAAATAAAAATGGAGTAGCTAAAACAAGCTTGAAAGTCATCAGCCGCTTGTGCCAAAGAAGCAGAAAAATATTACATTTATGGCTCTTTTGATTTAGCCAAGAAGGCCTCCGTCAGTCGATAAAATAATTTATTAGGCCGACCTTTGCTAGGACTCGTGTCTTAACCAAGATACATGGCTCTATTATCACTTCTCAGCCCACAATGTAATTGGTTGGCTAAAAGATTTTCAACGAGAGTTTCTAAGAATGCGTAAGATATTCGGTTTGCTGCTGCCCCGAAGAGCA